GCATGATGCCGTTCTGCTTTTCATGCTGCATGTAGTGCAGTTTCTTCACTAGGTTCTTCTTTCACCTTTCTCTGTCTCTCCCTTATTTCTTTTTTCAACAGGAGTCAGCTTTGCATCTAGGGAAAAAATTTAATAGCAAATGTTTATTTATAAGTGCTGTTTGAGAAATCAACTATCACTAGGGCTGCCCTTCATACGATTAATCTAGATCTAGCATAAGTGGCATAGTGCTGAAGTCAACTAAGTTTAGCTGATTTCCTATGTGGCAAAGTTTTAGCGAAGAAAATTCTCTTTTTTTTTTTTACTTCAGTCTACATCTAAGTCTCTGCAACAACACAAAATTCACTTCTAAATGTGCAACTAAATAAAAGATCTAGATCTATAGACCTACATTTTAAGAACTCTTTGGTAAAAATGGTAAAATTGTACTGGTTTAACGCCCTTATAAAGTTTTTTTAGAGGTGGGACCAAGTTTAAGGTTCATCCCCGAAAGGACGGAGCCAAATGGGAAATTTGTGTACAGTATTCTTTCTCAAGGACACAATGTTGGACTGAGCTGAGGCTCGCACCCGTTAACTCACAATCTCACAATTACTTAGAACTCTTTGATAACTTTTATCAACATAGAAGGTTCTAGGCTTTGGTAGAACAAAAGTATGTTGCATTATTATTATCATCGATGAAGGAAAAATGGAAGGTTTTGTCTTTCATTTTACTCCATTGTTCCCTCACTATTGCTCTCAATTTCATCCCATTACTTAAATTATAGAATCACAATATAGGAGTATTGTTGAAAGAGTACAGACACATCTTTCACATAATAATTATTCTGTTTTGTTTATGCATAAATGACTCATTTTCATCCCGAACTTTGGTCAGTTTTGCTGACACTTGCCGCTTGTTCCTGCTATCTTCTTCTATTCTGCAATGTTACTCTCAATTCTGTCCTGTTACTCAAAGATAAAAATGACCATTCAGGTGTTCTGTTGAAAAAGTACAAACATGCCTCTAGTTTTAACCTCTTTCATTTACTCTTATTAAGCGTGGACTACCTCACACTTTAACCCACACTCTGGTCAGCTAAGCTATTGAACACATTCCCTTCTCTCCTGTTACTTTTTAATTCTCTCCGGTTATGAAAACCGAGGTAACAGCAAAAAAAGTAACAGGAGGGAATTCTGCACACTGTTGCCCTGAAGACCACTAACTTCTCTCCGGTTATGAAAACCGGGGTAACAGCAAAAAAAAGTAACAGGAGGGAATTCTGCACACTGTTGCCCTGACGGCCACTAACTAGGTAGAGCTCATGTTATGGGTTGTCTTGCCATTGAAATGTAACGGTGGCAGACTTCCTAACCAAAGGAGAGTGTATCGGATTTCTGCATAATAAGTCGTTCTAGACCCTTGTAACAGGAGGAATAGATCTATGTAAGCTCAAATACTCACCGTGTTGGGTTGAACTTGGCTCTGTATCTTTCAGTCATGCATTGCATAAGCTCGGTTGTCTCATGTCATATAAAGAAACTGGTAGGGAGTCTCAAAATCTCAAAGAAAATAAATCTAGATCTAGGGAACTATCATCTGTGGGAAATGCTGGGTAATATAACACAAGGACGGGCACCAAGATTTCTTTTGCTTCAGTGTTGCTGTCCAATACTCTGTACAACTGTGAAATATTTAATCCCTGAAGCCATGACTTTTATCCTTAAGCATGTTTTAAAAAACACATACGTGTTGCGGATCCTGCCATTTTTTCATTCTGAGCAAGATTTACAAAAGAGCTGTAAAATTTCTATGACTTGGCAGTTTTGAAGACCTCATTTTAAGGTCAATAAACGTTTTACCCTGTTCATGAATATAGTCAAAGGCAATTCGAAGCAATGTTTCATGGTATCCAATGAATTAGGTCTGGAATCACAAATTCCAAAAATGTGGTATTTTTTTTCAAAATGACTCATATATATGTTAGCCACTAGATTGAAAACTCGATCCTCAAAATTTCAGATCTCTGACTACACTGGCCACATATGGCCTAAATAAGGTAAGGGAGGGGGGTTTAGCTTATTTAGGCCACACATGCTCAAACTACCCTTTTCAGGCAACTGAGT